CACCACCACCATCACAGCCATCATCACCATCACACCATCACCACACCATCACCAGCACCATCATCACCATCACTACCACCACCACCATCACAGCCATCATCACCATCACACCAGCACCAGCACCATCATCACCACCATCACTCCCACCATCTCCACCACTATCACCACCACCATCATCACCATCACCATCACACCAGCACCATCATCACCATCACTACCACCACCACCATCACAGCCATCATCACCATCACACCAGCACCAGCACCATCATCACCATCACTCCCACCACCTCTACCACTATCACCACCACTATCATCACTACAGCCACCACTAACACCACCATCACTACCACCATCTATCACCACCACCATATCCTCGCTACTATCTCCACCATTATCACCACCAGCTCCATCACCAACTCCACCACCACCCATCATCACCACCATCACCACCATCACCACCACCACCTGCACCATCACTACCACCACCACCCAGCATGGTTATGAGTGACACTGCTCACCTGAGATGGTCCAGGTCGCTGGAGGAGGATTGGGACTCAAAGCCCAGGTCCTTGGTGGGGAGGTTCAGCACGGGATTGGCCCTGGAAAAAAGGCCTAGTCAAGCGGCCGTGTGCCTCAGCCTCCCCATGGGGCCTCTTACTCACCCTTTGAGTCCCACTCACCGATCAGCAGTGTACATGTTAGTCCCAGGGATGGCAGAGGTTGAGGGCATCACCCCTGCTGCTGTTTTCCGGGCCTCCTTGGCAGCCTTTATAGCCCGAAGTTTCCGGCGGTAGCTGTGGGGAACCAGGAAAGGGACACTACTTTCCCTGCACACCCACTGTATGTCCAGTGCAGGCCCTGGGAGTGTGACTTCAGAACAACCCTGACAAGTAAGAGGATTCCCTCCATTTTGCAGTGTACAAGTAACTGTCAAAGAAGGAAAAACATTTGCCAAAGGCCACACAGTTGACTAGTGTCAAGGCCTAGACTCAAACCCAGATGTGACTGCTGACTGCAAATGATTGGAAAAGGAAAAAGAAACAGCATTTATTAAGTGCATTTTAGGTGCCAGACATCTTGCTGGGTGTGAGATGCACATTGCTTCCTTGAGGGCTTTGAGGAATCTAGTCTCATGCCCATTAGGCAGATGAGGAAACTGAGGCTTGAGGAGAGGAGATGACCCAAGATGTCACAACAGGTCAATGGGGATTGAATACAGGTATACCTGACACCTAAACCCAAGCTCTATTTACCCCCTCTCCTTTATGGCTTGCGGGGGGGGGGGGGGGCTGGGGAGACACAGGATGATGAGAACGTTACCTCTTTCGGGTACACAGGAGGGCCATGGTCATGATCACGATGACCAGCAGCAAACCACTCCCAATCCTATGATGACGCTACTGAGCACCTTCGGCAAATCTGACTTCAGATTAGCCTCGGAGCCCTGGAGAAAGAGTGTGATGGAGGCTCTGGGGTCCACAGACATACCCCACCCCACTCCCCCACTGCTCTCTTCCTGCGGTCACTCACCAGCACCACCAGCCCCAGCTTCACCAGCTGTGTCACTGCGTCCCGGTCTTCCAGGATAATCCTGTCCACAGAGCCCCGCTCAGGCCCGAGGGACATTGGCATCCCCCAGGCTTCCTGGTCACCCTCCTGCCCCACCCCCACGGGCAGTCCCACTCACCGTCTCAGCTCATCAATTGTCAGGGCCGACCCATTTGAGAAGACAAAGTAGGCATCGAGGTAGGAACGGCCTCGGTCCCTGGAATGGGCAGGGGTGAAGCGTTAACAGGAGCCTAGAACCACCCAGCAGCCCCTCCTGCTGCTCCTCTTCCTCACCAACCACTGGGCCGGCTGGCACTCACCGAGCTGTGGACTCTATGTCCTTAATGTCCACAATGTAGACAGTAGTCCTGGTCACCTGGGCCAGAGCCCTGCAAAGGGGCGGGTGTCACAGAGGCCTGGGGTAGGGCCTTAAACCAGGCCAGTGGCCAGGGCCCTGCCAGTGAAATTAGGAATTGTGTGAATTAGGAAGGGGCACTTCCACCGGACAGCTCCATTGGCTAAGAAGGTAGCACCTCTGTGCAAATAGAGGAGGAAGCTCTTCCTCTGGGGTTGGGTTAACAGCTTAGCGAGCAGAGTGCACAGCCTTAGCAACTGTACACGGCAGCCCTAGTGAGGTTGTTCCCTGCCCAGCCAACCATAGGCATCTGGGGACGTGCAGAAAGGAGGTGCAGGTACAGGGTCAAAGACAGGGACAAGATATGAGTCTGAGACAGGGCTGAGAGACATTCCATCCTGGCCTTATCAGGGACCAGGCTCACAGGCCATGTTCTTCCCCACACCCGCTTCCAGGCTCCCCAGACCTACGCCTTAATCTCGTCCGTGTTGGCGCCCACCTCCTCCTTGCTCGTGGAGAACTGCAACCTCACACGGTAACTCTGATCCACAGTGAAGAGCTATGGAGGGGGCATGGGAGAAGATGAGGCACAAGGGACCCAGGGGCTGGCAGAGGACACCAGGGCTGGAGGCAGGGCCCAAAGCTCACGTTCAGGGTGATGTTGGCTTCCAGGGCAGGACCCACTGAAGGTTTGTCCTGGGCCTGGACGGTCACTTGGTAGGTGCCTTGGCGAGTGGCATCAAGGCTAGTCTTAAGCCTATGGAAGGTAAGAGGGAACAACTCAGCCTTGGGACTCAAGCTGGAGTCCTCTGGAACCCACTTGTACCCTTCCAAGGATGAGGAACTCACTGCCTTGAGGTCCCCTTTGGGCTTCCCCCACCCCCATCCAGGGGCTGCCCGTAGTTACTCAATGTGGCCAATGAACACATCAGCCTCTGAAGAGGTGGAGACCCGGAAGAAGTCCTGGAAGGGGAGCACGGCCCCATCCTTAGTGATGAAATCCGCTTGGAGGATGGAGAAGTGGATGGCCCCGTTGCTCCCTGAGTCATTGTCTCTGGCCTGGGAGCAAGAGTGGACGACATCTGTGGGCCAGGCCAGGGAGCCCTCACCCCCAGCAGGAATCAGAGGCTCGAGTGGCCTGGAAGGCTGGTCTGCATAATCTCTATCAGCCTTCCACAGGCCACCCCAACTGAGCAAATGCTTTAAACATTACAATTCAAGTTCTGGCAAGTCCCTGCCTCTGGCCCCCCAACCCAACAGGTTACCAACCAAAAGTCCCTTTCATGTGGAAATCCTACCCTGCCCCACCTACCCATGGCCACACACACACATTCAGATTTCCTGAGCACCTACTGTGTGCCAGGCTCCTTCCCTTGGAGCCCTCATTTCAGTGCTCACTGACATGAGTACAAATTCCCCCAATGAACCATAAAATGACTGGGAGAGAGGGCACAAATATTTTTATTCATTCTAGTGCCTTTTAGAGAAAAATATAGCCAACACACAGAAGCATGAGTCCACTATGTCACTGTTCATGATGAGGCCAAAGCTGGTGTTTAAGTTTAAAAAAAAAAGTTGATTTAAAGAAAATTGCTCAAAGCCATGGCCAGACACATGACATTGGAAGACAATTGGCTGAAGACTGGAAAACTGACTCTTTAAGACTTTGAAGGAAACTGAGGCTCCAAGAGAGACCCTGTCCTACCAAAAACCCAGCTCTCATGAGGCATCCATCTCCTGCACCCACGCCCTTTCCACAGCACAGAGTGGCACCCAGACACTACTGCCTCTGGGTTAGAGTCACTGCCAGGAACTGCCAGCTTCTTGTCTAGAGGGAAGCTGAGTTCCAGAAAGGCATGGCAACTGCCCAGGTCAGCAAGAGGCCAGCCTGGCCCAGGCCCCAGGCTGTGTGGGAGGCCTCACCACTTGGCATAGCCACCACCCTCTGGTAAATACACCCGTATCCGACACCATAAAGAATTGAGTCTTTTCGGAAAGTAACATACAAGGGATCTCCCATTAGATTATCAAATGATTTCTCAACAGAAACACATCAGGCCAGAAAAGAATGGACGGAAATCTACAAAGTGATGCAAAGCAAAGGACTGAATCCAAGAATACTCTATCCAGCAAGGCTATCATTCAAAATTGAAGGGGAAATAAGAAGCTTCACAGACAAAAAAGGGCTAAGGGAGTTTATCACCACCAAGCCAGCCATGCAAGAAATGCTAAAGGGACTGGTGTAAAAAGAAGAAACATCAAGCTCAGAAAGAAAACAGCCACACACACACAAAAAAAGAAATGGCTACAAACAAGTACCTTTCAATAATAACTTTAAATGTAAATGGACTAAATGCTCCAACCAAAAGACATCGAGTGGCTGAATGGATAAAAAAACATGACCCATACATCTGCTGTCTACAAGAGACCCACCTCATTAGAAGGGACTCACACAGACTGAAAGTGAAGGGATGGAAAAATATCTTTCACGCAAATGGAAAGGAAAAGAAAGCTGGGGTAGCAATACTTATATCTGACAAAATACATCTCAAAGTGAAGGCCATAACCAGAGATAAGGAAGGCCACTTCATAATACTAAAGGGATCAATACAACAAGAAGATATAACCCTGGTAAACATATATGCACCCAATGCAGGAGCACCCACATACATAAGAAAACTTCTGGAAGATATCAGGGGAGAGATCGACAACAATACAATCATAGTAGGGGACTTTAATACACCACTGACATCACTGGATAAATCCGCTAGACAAAAACTCAGCAAAGAAACAGCAATCCTTAATGACTCACTAGATCAGATGGACTTAATTGACATCTTCAGAACACTTCACCCCACAGCTGCGGAATATACATTCCTCTCAGGTGCTCATGGGACATATTCAAAAATAGACCACATATTGGGTCACAAGCAAAGTCTCCACAAATTCAAGAAGATTGAAATCATAAAAAGCATCTTCGCAGACCACGATGGCATAATGTTAGAAATAAACTACAATAAAAACAACCCAAAATACTCAAACACTTGGAAGCTGAATAGCATGTTATTAAATATTGATTGGGTTACCGATGACATCAAAGAAGAAATTAAAAACATCCTGGACACTAATGACAATGAAAACACAACAATCCAAAACCTCTGGGACACAATGAAAGCAGTCCTGAGAGGAAAGTTTATAGCTCTACAGGCCTATCTCAAAAAACAAGAAAAAATGGTAGTCAATCATCTAACTCTACAACTCAAAGAATTAGAAAGAGAGCAACAAGAAAACCCCAGAGTGAGCAGAAGGAAGGAGATAATAAAGATTAGAGCAGAAATCAATGACATAGAGACCAAAAAAACAATACAGAAAATCAATGAAACCAAGAGCTGGTTCTTTGAAAGGATAAACAAGATTGACAAACCCCTAGCCAGGCTCACCAAGAAGCAAAGAGAGAGGTCCCAAATAAACCAAATCAGAAATGATAGAGGCGAAATAACAACAGACCCCACAGAAATACAAATGATTGTTAAACAATACTACGGGCAACTCTACTCCAACAAACTAGACAACCTGGAGGAAATGGACAAATTCCTAGAAAAATA